CACAAAGCCCAAGAAATCAAACCAGCAGAGAACCAAGAAAACAGATTGCAAGAGGAAAACATCAACCCATATCTGAATTCTACAATAAACGAAAGCACAGAAGATGTTACAAAGGTGATCAAAATACAAGAGGTGGCAAAGCTAAAAGCTAAAAAGATCAAAAAGATAAGAAAAAAAATATTGCTCACACTATGGGATATCCCAAACAATACAAGAGCTGCCCAAATCAAAAAGTGTCTGGGCTACTATAGCAGAGCAACAGTTAAAGGCTTCATGGCGAATGGCAAAACTAAAGCAGCATTAGTAGAAATCGAAACTAAAAACAGCAAGAAAACTACTGCACTAAAAGAAGCCTGGGCAATACACTTCGAAGAAGGCAAAATGATTATAGCCACACAAGGAGTATTTGACAAAAATACTCTAGTAGAAAGAAGCTAGTACAAGCTAACTGCAAAGAAGATTTCCAAAATAGCAATAGAAACGGCACTACTTAGGCAGCTTAAGAATATTAGTGCAAAAGCAGTATACATTTTATCCAACCACAACAAGAACCAACGTGAGGTGGCAACAGTATATTTTGAGTCAGGGAGTGACAAAAATAAGGCCTAAGAAGAAGCAATATACTACTACAATAACAGGCTAAAATAGGCATGCACAGAGAGCAGAGAACAGAAGATGCCAACAAACTTGCAACTAAACCATGCCTAAAAAAGAAGCCTCTAGAGAAATCAACCCCACTAACAGCTAGATATAAGTCTAATAAAGAAAATATAAAGACTCAGCCACCTTGTCAAGAAGAGAAAAAAGAAATCAAAAAAGAAAAAGAAAAGTCTCCTCAATCTCAGCAGTACAACCAACACAACCCAACACTACAAGATCCAGAACACAAGCAGACCTTATTGAAGAGATTCTACAAAGGCTCATAGTTATTAAAGAAAGACAACAAGAGGGTCTAATCCCCAATTGCTTCTAACAAGCACCAAGGGCATACAACTAAGAAAAAAGGTGCTGCAACCTGGCAGCAGCACAAATGCAAAAAAGAGTCAGGACAATCTAGAGACGCTAGTAATTGGAATACATAAAATCAAAACAAATTTAACAAATTAGACCTCTTGATAGATTATATAGAAGAAAATAAGGTAGATATAATTGGGCTCAGTAAAACAAATATAACAGAAAAAGAAGGGAGATACGCAGCCAAAAAGTTCAAAAATTTCCAATCCTTCTGGTTCAACACAGAGGAAAATAAAAGCAAAGGCTCTGGAGTAGGAGTGATAATTAGGAAAAAATGGGCAAAGCATGTGGCAAAGACTAGCAGAAGCAGCCTATACATATTAGAAATACTGCTTATATTTAAACAATTCGATCTAGAAGTTATAGTGTTATACCAAGCCCCAAATAATACCAAAGTAGAGAAAGAAATTACAAGCATTCTAAAAAGATCAATAAAAGAGTAGCACAAAAGAAAACCAAGACACCATATAGTACTAGGAGACTTCAATCAAGTGGCAGATACAGAAAAAGATAGAAAAAGAAAAAGCAGAGCCAGAGACAAAAATGAGGCAAAGATAATTGAGTTACTTACAGAGAACAATTTTTAAGATGCATGCAACAGAATTTATATAGAAAAGAAATAACGCAGCATCTAGAATAGACCATATTTGGCTAAGTAACTCATAAAGTAGCAATACCTACCAAAGCAATATCATTGATATGTCATGCATTACAAATAGTGATCATGATCAGTGTTCGAAATTGGTGTTCTCAGAGGTCTCATGAGAACACTATTATAAATTTGTGCACAGTATAAATTTTTTACTGTTCACTATAAAGAGTTTTTTGAGAACAGTAAAATAATAATAGTGTTCTTATAAGTATATAATAAGAATAATAAGCAGCTATACATATAATATTGTTAATCAAAAAATCAATAAATATACAATAACTAATTTCAATAATTCTGATAACTATAATTGCGAATTCACAATGTCTAGTATTAGCCATGGTCTCTTATGCTATGTAAAGCAGGTAGCTTTAATATATAGCACAAAATGGTAGAATTCTATATAGAAAAGAGGTCTCAAGTGCAAATCTTGGCTTGTGTGAATAATTGGTGTCAATTTGACAATAAGATAACTATTAACAATTACATAAATAACTCAAAATAGACAATTGATTAAATGAATTATACTTATCTGACTTCATATACAATCTATATAGTATCAGATTATTTATATATCTGATTAGGCTTCAAGGCTGCATTACTATATTTGACTAGTTTAATTCTGGCATTTGATTTTTGATTTTTTGTAAAGATAGTACAAAATAGCAGGATTTGGCATAAAGTAGAAGAGTTTGCCTGCGAATTTTCTTTCCTGTGCCCAGAAAGGCATTATTTATACTAGAATATTATTAGTAATTATTTAATTATCTGATCAGTTCTAGAATAAGAAGTTAATTAATAGTTAAATTGTACTTATTTTATGCTTGCTTATGCGATATTAATTGAATACTGATTTGGACAAATTGGTCAGCAGTACTGGTTTAAATTCAAATCTTGGCTTGTGCTACTTAGCAGAGTCACTTCTGGTATATCTCTGCTTTGCCCTCTTTCAATCTATTAACTTAAACGATAATTCACTAAATAGGATTTACTTACAATAAATAATTAATTATATTTCAAAATCAAATTATAAAAGAAGATAAATTAAATTAATAAAAATCTCAAATTTTAAATATTATTGTTCGCTTATTTTTCAGTTATTTTAAAATATCTAATTTTAAAAAACAAAGTAAAATTACTTTATTTATTACTATAGCACAGACTTTTAATGAATTAATACTACCATATAATGAAAACAATTTTGGCAAAAATCTTAACTTTGATAATTTTGAAAATAGTACTGCTACTAATGAAAATTCTAATAATAAGCAAGATATGACCAATAATACTAAATTAGAAAAATCTAAATATAATTGTTTTGCTAAAAAAAATTTAAAATAGAATCCAAATTGGAAAACAATTTATCTATGGGTTGATTTAGTAGTACAACAAGATGGAAAATATATGGTTTGTACATGGTGTATTGATGCAAAATGTAATAATATTTTCGTAACAGGTACTCAGTATTTTAGAGAACA